TTGGTATTCTTCCTGTTCCTGCTCCCTGATTGTTTCTAATTTGAGTCCAGGTGTTCCCCGTTTAGTTCGTATTGTTCCCAGGTGTGTCCCTTTAGTTTCTGGGCATTTAAACCCTGTGTTTCCCATCTGCTGTTATATGTCATCCCTGAAGTTCCAGTGTTTTGTATCCCTTTGTTTATTTGAATTAAATTCTAGTTGAAGTGTTCTCCTGCGTCTCCTCGTTCCTTCCTCCCCGAGTGACCGTGACAACTGTGTAGCATTCTCTGAATGTAGGCTATAGGGTAACATTTTATGTCACACCTTTGCATGATGTGAGTTTCTTTGTCTTATTTTCATAAAATAAAATGCTACAGTATTTAACTTTTATTTTCTATCAGCGAATGATAATTCTGAAAGAAACTGCTCCTGATTTCTACTGTTTCCTATAATAATGAACGCAACTTTCATGCATCTAAATGACAGATAAACCCTGTGCTTACCTTATTTCAAGGTTGTTGTTAATGCTGTGGTTATTTTAACGGTTTCCTTCATACATTCGGTTTAACAACATTAAGTTAAAAGTAATTTATCATTCAATGGAACTGTGCATATGCTTTTAGACACTTACATTGTTTTGGCTCTGCCAATGCAATAAATGCGCAACCTTCAACTGTTCAGGAAATGTCAATGGTATGACCGAGAGCCACTGAAAAATTACAGAAAAGTAAAACTACTTTACACTAGCAGTACTGGCCACAAGTACTAAGGAGAGATCACACATTGGCTGGTTAAAAAATGTGTCCATGAGAGCTATGATCGGAACACAAGCTCAATCCTGCGACAGGCGGTAAATACTGAAGCGCGTGAAGGAGAGATGTGAGGGCACGAACAACGCTATTCAAGGTCTCCATTAATTTATGCTTGTAGTAATTTAATGTGTATATATTTTAACCCTCTGGGGTCGACAAACGTGCCGGCGCATTTTGTGCCATTTTTTTCTGATAACCGCTAAATTACTCATTTTTACGTCATTTTTGATCAAAACAAAACACCAACGAATCTGTAAAGGGTCTACTCTTATTTGTATACACTCATAATACAACAAAACTTTGTGCTTTTGTAAAGAAAACAAACAGGGTGCGCTGTCTGCCGCCTTGGTCTCAGTGATCTTCATTTTGAAACGCATCACTAAAATGAACTGAAACTCAGCAAATACTCCACACACAGACACGAGAGATATATCTATAGAAAGCTTGACATGTCTACGTTTAAATAAAGCAAGTCTTATCGAAAACAAGTATTCTCTGGTAACGTAATCCATATGAAACCAACGCGATGTCCAGTCTTTCCCGTCTGACTTCATTATCTTTAATTTGATCACACCCAGTGTTGGGTAAGTTACTCTAAAAAAGTAATTAATTACTAGTTACTAATTACATCTTCAACAGTGTAATTAGATTACTGTACAAATTACTCTCTCCAGAAAGTATTTAATTACTTATTACTAATTACTTTCTAAATCCTATATCAACCTCAACAAGTAAATGATACAAGGATAGACATGAAACGGTTCTTTGAATTCTTTGAAATAAATAATAGATAACTACATAAATTATTCTGGTCACACTTTAGATTAGAGTTCAATTCTCACTATTAACTAACTATTAGCTATGACTTTTGCCTCAATATACTCCTAATTACTGCTTATTAATACTTAGTAAAGTAGTTGTTAAGTTTAAGAATTGGGTAGGGTTAAAGATTTAGAATAAATTCTTGCAGAATAAAACATTAATCCCATTAATCCCATCCCAACATTAATTTATATGTGCTTTTTTTAAGTAATAGGCCTTATAAACAGCCAATATCCCAGAAATATTCATGCTAATAACCAACTAGTTAATAGTGAGAATTGGAAACTAAAGTGTTACCAATATTCTTATTAACTCACCAAAGTATTTAAAGTGAGAATGGTACATAAAAGGCATGCATTTTAAGGTTAGACTTTAAATTTTTATGTTAAATCCACTATTGTATTGTATAGGGCTGCCCCCTAATAGTCGACTAGTCGATAGGCTTGGTCGACCAAAATTGTATTAGTCCCTTAGTCGCAGAAAAAAAAATCCACATTGGCGATGTCACACAGATCGTTGGTTTAAATATTTCCACACATGCTAGCATAACCAAATTTACTGTATTTACTAGTTGCCATATCAACACTATAAAAAAGTGCGTCAAAATTCAAAAGCCTTTTGAAGATGTCACTGAATATTACACAGATGTTACAATGTACCTCACCTACGGGGCTTGTTGTCACATTTCACTTCCTTTCTTTTGAGGTAAATACCGAAAAGCATATACACTGTAATTATGCAACAAAGTGACATATTTGTACTAGACAAGTGTGAAATTAATGTGGATAAAAAATGATACTCTGAACATCACGTGGATTTACACAAACTGAGAAATTCAAAAAGTGTTAGGTTGTGCCCCGCGCTCCCCTACACATTTTACTTAGATTTTTTCCATTCCTGACTACATGTATAATCAAGTGAAACATTATGAAGTATGTTTCATTTCATTGCATCTAAATGTCTCACGATGCCATTTAATGTTCTATAAAACAGAAAACTATACGATATAAAAGTAATATGAGTGTTTACACTGTAACACTAAAGAATGTGCTCTTGAATATATGTAGATGTTTATGACGTGCTTAGCAATAATAATTTAGTTTCCCAGATGTAAAATGTTTTTGTATTGTATAATACATACAGCATGCCTGTGTTTATGACTATAAAATCATATATTTTTATTTATTTATTAATTTATTTAGGAGTTATAAGTGACCAATATTATTGATTGCAAATGTGATAATAAAGTTTCTCCTAAATCAACATGCTAACAGATCCTCCGGATCCTCCCCACTGTACTACCGCTGAGGGTGAGCTGAGGCAGGACTCTGAGGACTTGATAGACTTTTATTCTGATGTACCCAGTCTTCCGTCATCATCTGTCTGTCCTGTTACGGCCATGGAGACCATTTATGAACTCCCTGTCTGTCCTGAACTGTCAGCCTGTCTTGAACTGTCTGCCCGTATCGAACTGTCTGTCTGTCCCGTCTTGACCATGGAGGTCATTCCCCTGTCTGCTGCACTCCTGGTGTTGGGAGTTGCGATCTGGTGTGGGTGGGCAGCACACACCATCCCAGAAAGCCCTGATGCTCACAAATTCCCACCTACCCTCACTCTCCTGCCTCCTCCTGTCTTCCCTACTGCTACAGCTCCGCCACCGCTGTCTCCTGTCAGCCCCTCAGCTCACCCTCAGCCCACCATCTGTGCGGTGGATTCCTTGTCTCCGCCTCCAGCCTCTGAGTCCTGGACTCCGCCTCGGCCCGTCGACCCAGCGACTCCACCATGGCTCCTAGCTCCCTCATCTCCACCGTGGCATGGCAGTCCACCAGCTCCCTCGTCCTTCCAGCTCCGCCTTGGTCAGTATTCGACTATCCGCCGCCTCAGGACTCCACTCCTCCGGGTGTGCCTCGTCCCGCCGGCTCTGTCAGGCTCCTCCTTCCCTCCGGCTCCACCTTGGTCCTCTGTCGCTCCGGCTCCACCGCGGCCTTCCAGATCCCCACCTCTGCCTCTGTCACTGGAGCCATCGGCTCCGCCTTGGCCCTCCAGATCCTCCCCGTCTCCCTGACTCATTGGCTCTCCGTCTCCGCCTCGGGATCCACCACCACCTGCTCCGCCGCCGTCGGTCGACCCTCTGGAGTTGTCAGCCCTTCCTCCACCATGGTTCCTCCCTCCGTCGGCTTCACTGTGGGTTGCCTTCATGGCTGCGGCCTGAGTCCTGCCTGGCTCCTCCTGCTCCAATTCCCTCTCGTCTTCTCCCTGGCTCCTCCCTCAGTCTTCGCCACCCTGGCTCCTTCTGTCTCCATCCTGGCTCCTCCCTCCATCCAATCCGCCGTGGTTCCTCCTGATTCCATTATGGCTCCTCCCTCCTTCATCTCCACCCTGGGCTCTGTCTGTCGTCCTCCTCCTGGTGGTCTGTCCTCCTCCTGAACCTCCAACAGAATTATCTGCCTGCCTTTCTGCCAGCCCATTTGCCATCCCTTGTCACCATCCCACCGCCATCTCCTTACCCTTTTCATCTCGGCACACACCACCAACCTGTTTTTACTTTGGTTGCCTGTTGTGTTCATTGACCTAGTTTCTGTTTCCCCTTGATTGCCTTAGTTAGTTCACCTGTGTCTAGTTAATTTAGTCATTAGTTCCTCTCTTCCGTTTGTATAAATTCCATTCCTTTAGTTCTCTGAGTTGCTGGTTATTAATGTTATTACTTTTGTCTCTGTTGCATTGATTTACACTTCGTTGGATTGCCTAGCCTTACCTGTTTGGATTTTCTGTTTGTTCTCCTGAGTATTATTATTAAAAACTGTGTATTTGGACTAAACCTTCGTTGTGCGCTTTGTATCCTGCCAACGAATGTGACAATAGGCTATAAACAATTAAAGGCTCATTATTATGAATTATATGGTTTATTAATATACCATTCACCATTATTAATAAATCATAATAAGATGAACCCAAAACTTTCCCCTTATTGCTCTTAATGCAAAACATCAGTTGGTAATTATATTCATTGTATCTGGTCTTGTCACAAAATTCAGTTGTACTGGAAGAAAATTGCAGACCACACTGGTAATCTAAATGTGCAGTAGCAGTATTTCTTACATGCTCACAGCAGCATGTTTGTGGATGTATTGGCAGTAGCAGCATAGCAGATCTATTCCAGCAAGTCCAAACACATTAATATTGTCATGTATATTAGCATGCTAAACACTACGAGAGTTGTCATGACAGAATTTCATTAACTGCAACACGGCTGCAGTGTTACTTTTAGCACTCTGTAGTGTGGACACATGAACACAGTGTTAATTTAACAACAGCAATTTTGCTGTGGTGCACTGAAGAGTAAACCTGATAAACACGTTAATTTTGCTGTTTATTTTATTCTCTACACAGGCTATGTGGGTGTAATCTCACTGCTCAGTCTTGTGAGAGTTTGTCTTCAGCTCTACAATCATCAAACTCTGTCCTGAGAGAGCTGGACCTGAGTAACAATGACCTGAAAGGTTCAGGAGTGAAGCTGCTTTCTGATGGACTGAGGAGTCCAAACTGTCAGCTGCAGATACTGAGGTTTGAGTTCAGATACTTCACTGATTTATTTTTTTTTGCTAAAAATTATACTAAGATTTAATCTGTATCCATTTACTTTGTGTTTTTTCTTGTTCAGACTGTCCTTATGTAATCTCACTGCTCACTCTTGTGACAGTTTGTCATCAGTTTTACAATCCTCAAACTCTGTCCTGAGAGAGCTGGACTTGAATAACAATGACCTGCAGGATTCTGGAGTGAAGCTGCTTATTGATGGACTGAAGAGCCCAAACTGTCAGCTGGAGACACTGAGGTAAATGGGTTTCCATAAAACAACTAACAAAATCTATTACAATAAATGACCGTTACAAATTGTCAAAAAATGTATAATCTGTTCTAAGTGGAATGCCGGAAC